AAAATTAATCAGCAATTATTATCCAAACATATGCGATGGACAGATAGCAAATTTTGTGTCAACTTCGGAACATAGAGAACAGATTTTAATTGAAATGACTGCAGTGGAGTTTGAAGAGTGGAAGAGCCAACATGAGAGATGGATAAACCTTCACCATTGGCTGTGTGAATAGTCTCATGAGATGGATATGATGTAGTAAGAGAAAGATTATTCAAATCGGTGGTCATATGATTTGTAGCACCCGTATCAGTAATCCAAACTTGTGGAGGTGGGGCAGAGGGCAATGGAGTTGATATTGAATTCCCAGAAGCATTGTTGACATACATTATAATCATTGGAGAGGATCCTTTCTGAAAACAGAACTCAGCACTATGATTTGGATTCCTACATATTTGACAACCATGAGATTGAGATGCATCTCTGAATCTGCAAGTAGCAGCCATGTGATTGTTCTTGCCACAAATTTGACACATTTGAGATACATTTCTGAATCGACAAGTATCAGCCAAATGATTTGTTTTCCCACAAATTTGACAAGGGATGACAGGAGGATGGCCAAACTGTGGAGCAGCACCAAGGATTCCAGAACCAGGATTACCATTATTGAAAACTTGCTTTGAGTGATTGAACCTGTTATTCGAATTATTTGCCCTTGTTCTTATTGGTGAAAGATTTGTAACCAGAGTTGGAGTTATGGGAAGTGTATGGCCGACCAGATTGCGCCTGAGACTGAACATTGGAAGGTCTCTGAGTAAAATTAGGTGAATGAGCCACTAATGCATTAAGCATTGGAGTAGGATGAAGAGTCTCAATCATCACTTCTTCAGCAAGCAATTGTGACCGAAGATCTTTCAAAAAAATAACAGATTCACGCCCCCTTATCACAGACCTGATTGTATTATACTCGGATGGTAGACCATTAAATGTAAGGATCACAATATCATCATCTTCAAAATAGACACCAGCAGCAGACAAATAATCTCTAGCTTCTTTGATTCGTTGAAGATACACATTAATGGAATCAGTACCTTTCTTGATAGTTTGCAACTTAGATTTCATCTTAAATATGCTTGTCCGAGTAACAGTAGAAAATTGCTCCCTGAGACGAGTCCACAAATCCTGAGCACTTGTGCTTCCAATGGCACAGGAAATGGCTGGTGGTGATAGAGTAACTGTGATAAGCTGCATCAATGCTCTATCATGCATCCTCCAAACCATATATTCATCAGATTCCTTGCAAGCACAAGACTGATCAGACTGTTGTCTAGGAGAGAGTTCGGTATCACCAGAATTTAGAGTAAGAAACCGAGATGGACATGGTGTTGAACCATCGACAAACCCCATAATTCCATGACCTTCCAGTAAAAGTTGCATTTGGAAATGCCAAGTCAAGTAATTGGTATCATCCAATTTCATGGTTACAGAGGTTGAGACCGATGAAATTAGAGAAGTAATAGGAGATTGCAATATCTGTAACTGATTGGCGGTCACCATTGTTGAATCTTCAAGAAAGTGATGTACATAGAACAAAACACAAATAGTTGGTGTGCACAACTTGCAACGAAGAAAGTATCCCAAAATTAGAGATGCAGAACCCTAAAGCAGAAAGAAAGAACCTGCGATCGAAGAACAAGAACATAGCACGAGAAGATTGAAGTAATAGCGGAAGCAAAAATTCCAAGATCGAAGAACCGTCAAGTCTATACGCTTGTACCGGTGAGAGAGTTGATGAAGCTTAAATGGCGATTGATACCATGTTAAGAAAGAATGATCTGTTGTAGTAGAGAAGATGAATGCAGAGACAGGGAGAGAGAGAAATAGAGAATTTAGAAAGAGATAAGTAATCTTGTTTGTATTAATCTTTTTACTCATTACTCAGTACATTTACATTGTAGTATATATATGTGTAACTAAGGTAGCTTATAGACTAAGCTAACAGATATAACAAACCCTTAACTAATTGCCTAATCTTATGACACATGTCAAGAGAATATCCCTTAGATTGGCTACTCCTTACACCAGAAACCATCACGTCCATTCCAGTCTTGGCTAAGCACGAGTTTGTCAATCATGCCACTCGATTCTCCATATCTCGTACAGAACCCAAACGTGAATCATACCAGCAACTCCAACTTTGTAGCAAACGAAACAAACAACTGTACTATAATGGCTGAAGTGATATTATATACTCAATTGTTTCAAGTTACATATTGACTTTTCGGATTTCTTGGTTCTTGAGCTCTGAACAGTGAGATTTGAAGAGGATCTCAACTCCTCCGTTGAAGCTTGATTTTGCCTATAAGGCTGATCAAATAGAATTTGGTTATTCGCTTGCTACTCCATTAAAGATGCTCTAAAACAAAACTGAAGTTTGTGCCAAACTTTTCTTCAAAATACAGCGTGCATATACAGTTCAATGTGTTTCACCTTTCTTCACAATACGATGTGAGAATTTTGACTTTCCAGCGTAACCATTTCTTTCTATTTTTCTTTTTGGTTTCCTACGGCGGGGGCAGTAACAAGGCTAGGGTGGGCTCTAGCATAGGGAGAGTTTTAATTGTTTAAGGTTAAAAATACTAATAATTTAGACTATTTTATTATTTTTAATTGTTATAGCCCACCCAGTAAGTAAATGTTTTGAAAAATATGACTATTTTTAGAAAAAGTAAGAGTTAATAAATAATTAAATAAATTATTTACTTTAATCAATATCAAAATTTATTATTATTATATTTCAAATCATACACATTGACACACACGTCCCAATAAATATTTTTATTTGATTAGTTTTTAGGGAGTAGTCTATAGTGATTAGTTTAGGTTTCCTATGAGTAGTCATCCGGTTTTAAAAAGTAGATTTAATATTTTATTATTTTAGGTTTCCTAGGAGTAGTTTATTATTATTATGTTTTACTTTTGTGGTACAACAGTGATTCTTTTTCACTTTTTAGAAAACCTTCATCCTGTCTCATCTGCAGTTCACAAAAACCAAACATACAAGTGAGAAAGTTTATTGATTTTTCTCATCAATAGGTAAGTTTTTTTTATCACTTTATTCTTATGTCTTGATTATTTTATTTGTTTATAGCTTTAATTTTAAGAGTTCGTACTTTAAAAATTCAATTTCAAGTTTAATATATTTTTTCTAATAGTTTGATTATGGAGATGGAGAGTGAATTTCTAGCAGATTCAATGGTTGTGTACATTGAAAAAGCGCTTGCCGAAAAGATTGATTTAGAAGAAATAACAAAGGATTTCAATTCCATTAAGGATCGAGGGGCACAACTTGAATATGTACTTTTTCTTTTATTTGTGAAGTTGTTATGATAAGATTGATGATGTATGTTTCTTTCTACTATAAGTTGCAACTTCAAATGTTTTCGTTGTTAAATCTAGTTGAAACTTGCTTTATTCATAGTTAAATTTCATACTTTAAATTATTACTTTCAGGCTTGTTATTGTGTAACTTTATGTAAGTAACAAAACAAATTTAACCATTTAATCTCCTAGTAATAATTTTAGTTTAGCCCACCCATCAAATAATTCCTAGCTCCGCCATTGTTGGTTTCTGCAGTGCAGGATTCTTATCATTCCAAACTTTTCTCAACTCCGAAGTCCTTGGAAGATCAGGGCTTGGACTAATTTGGGCCAATCTTCTATTTTTCATTTAATTTTAGTCGCAAATGTTTTCGATTCTAATTTCAGGCCCAACTACGAAATCTTGGGCCAAATCAGATCAGCTCATATTTACACCAAGGCCTTAGCCTTCCAAAGTAGGCCCAAAAATTGAATGTGAAACTAGTAAAATAAAATTTAAACTCTTACAGTATGCGGGAAAAGTGCTATGAGAGTGATATTCTTATTGTTCAGTTTAGTGTATTGAACTTATGAGGGTAATATTTATACAACAAATGACAACAAAGAGAAAAGAGGTAACCAATCATAAAATAAAGAAAAAAGAAATAAGATGAGCCCCAAAATTATCATATAAACTTCGTCCCTAACAAACTTACACCACTGTGACAATATTGTAATACGATTCAAACTCCATGTGCTTGATTCTTATATATAGACATCACGCTCACACACTGTGAAAGAGAGTATATATTTGAACAAAATCCCGCAATGTGTTAACCATAACACTTTGGTATCGAAATCTAGGGGAGGTTAGGTATGGGATCCTGAATCCCAAATTGAAAATTTTCGAGAGAAGAATTTCGGGATTCCTGAAATATTTTCGATATATCTAGATGGATCGAGACTGGATATTGAGTTTTGGGCTTTTAGGATGTGGGCTAAAATTTGGGCTTTTGGCCTAAATTTTGTTGCCCAATTTCATATCGATTGAAATTTATGATTTTTACCTCATACCAATTGAAGTACCACTTCATTGACGTTCCAAAGTTCCAAACAACTTAATTTCATACTTCTATTTCTAATATAGTCTGCTATCAAACTACTTAAATTCAACATCCAACATGTATGCAACCAAAATAAATATGTATAAACATACATATATATATATATATATGGTTTGGTTCGGGATCCTGAACCTTTGAATATGTAATTTCGATTTCTGTACCGAAAGGTTAGAGATCTGTTTGGTATGGATCCCAAAAATTTTGGGGTATTATCGTTTTGGAAATTTTTTGGTATGGGATCGACATTTTTTTGGTTTGGTTTGAGATTTCAAGGAAATTTTTCCAACCCTATCGAATCTCACTTACAAGTGAAAAAAATACAAATAAAACATAATACTAAGTACCTGAATGATTTTATCACCTTAATAATTACAACGAGACAAGTTATTTAATACCTAAATTTTAAAATTTAAACATATTTAACGATAATTAACGAGTACAAGTTACGTCACCACTTAAAAACATAGGGCAAAAAAAAAGTTGGGCGCACGTGTACTTTAAGTTTACCACTGACACTGTTTTCAGATTAGAAGGGTGACGTTAATCGGTTACTGTCACCTGCGGTTGATGTAAGCACCTCTCTTAGACTTTTCCACAACTAGCCATCCTTCCTCCCCCTCACTCCTTTCCTAAAAAGACCGACTTCCCTTCTCTCTCTCTCTCTCTCTCTCTTCTCTTTCTCTCTCTAAAATCTCAGACACCAGAAGTGAACTGCTGCTGCTGCTGCTGCGCCCGCCGCCGCCGCCGCCGCCGCCGCCGTATACATATAAATGTATCCCACAAACTCATCCTCCTCGCCTCAAAAGCCCATGGCCCCGAGACCAAGCACAACGGGCCTGACCCGCTACGGCTCCGCCCCGGGATCCCTCCTAAACTCAGCCGTGGACTCCGTCATGGGAGCCGCCGCCGACCGCGAATTCTCATCCCTCCGACCGCAGCACCTACGAGGCCACTACTTCTCCGGAGACGGTGGCGGCGACTCTCCCTCCCTCACTGGCTCCGAGTCCAGCTTCAAAGTCAACTCATCCAACGGCAGCCACAGGGACACCAGCACCACCAAGCCATTGCTCCAATCGCACGGTCTGAACGAGATTGGATCTTCCAACTCTTCTTCTTGTTCTTCGACGTCGTCGGCGGCTCTGGTTCGCCAGCGAAGCTCTCCAGCTGGCTTCTTCAGCCATCTCACCGCCCCTGAGAATAATGGTACGCCCTTTCCACTTTTTCTTTCCTTTGTACAATGACGGTACTATCCTTGGTGATTGAGATGGGCGTGTTCGTGTGCGTAGGGTACTTTTGAGATTTCAACTGGTTCTGGGACCTGGGAAGTGACGTTGACTATTTAACTAATAGACTGAAATGCCCGCGGAGTTCGTTTAAATTACGATAATAATATTGCTTAATCCTTATCCAATATATTACTTATTAATCAACCAACGGGAAAGGAGGGGATTTTCGGTATTTTATTGACCCGCACCAAGACCAATCGACCAATCACGTGTAAGCATGGGTTGGTTACGTGTCTTTTTTATTATTTTAGGATGATAATTCGTCAACTTGCTATTGTTTTTCTTGTTTTCTTTGGTTGTTTGTTATCATTGCATGTGTTGTTTTTGTTTGTTATCATTTTAATTTGCGTAAGTTATGTTCGTGACACTTTAAAAAAATCATCGTGCACTCTAAACTTTATATATTTAGAAACGCTCTGCATTTGCTTTGGCTCTTCTCCAATCAATCATGTTTACAGCTGGATCTCGTTAAAAGGACAATGCATATTTTACAATGGCGAATAACCTATCGTAATGTAAGTTATTTAATTAATGTTTTTTAATTTGTTTTAATTAGAAGTTCATTTTTTAGGGTTAGCTGGGCCATCTCCAATGGAGTGCCAAAAAGATTCAGGGCCAATTTTTGGGGGTGGACTGTCTGCCCTCTCATTTCCTCATTTCCTCATTTCCATACTATTCTCATCCTCTCCTGTTGTTTGTGGTCACGATTAAACCACGTTAACATTTTATATTCCTATTACTTTTTGTTTTATTATTTTTATAAAAAAATCAATATAAAATATTGACGTGACTTAACCATGATCATAGAAAATAAGAAGAGTATGGAAATGAGAGGATAGACAATCCACGTGCTTGCTACATTTGGCCCCTTTGGTAGGAATGAGCGACCCCTGTTCATGGCCCCCATGAAGTCGAAAAGGGGTCCAGGACAACACATAGCAACAATCATGTGTTGCGGGTTGCATTTTTATGAAGCACCCGCTTCTTTGTCAGCAAGATGACGTGGTTGTTTAAATCCAAAGGCACAGATCAATTTTTTTTTTTATTTTAGAGACGTAAAAAACAGATTTTTAAACCAAAAAATATTCGTAATATTTGTCTTTAAAGATAGATATTTCCGATACACACCTTCTTTTAAAACAGTGTGTTCCAAAAATTATATATAAATATGTATAAATAGTAGTTTAATTACTTTAAACAACATATAGTAGTTGATGTGTAATGTTGTACCATAATATTTTTCCGATATACTAAAAAGTAAAAGAAATATTGAGAGAAATAAAATATAGCCTCCGCACCATTGGAGATGGAAAGTTATAGCTTTGCACTATTTCTTAAAAAATTATATTTTTAGTGTGCTATTTAGAATTGGTGGCTAAATATAGCTAAACGATTGGAGATGGCCTTAGATCTCATCTCACCCCTAGCAAGTTGTAACTCTTTGCCTACAGTTTTTAACTCCATTGACATTTTGTTTGGTGGGTTAGGCCAAAATTTAAAGTGTTAAGCAACCTAGGGTTAAAGTTTAGCTAAAAACCATTTTTGCCTACAGTTTTTAACTCCATTGACATTTTGTTTGGTGGGTTAGGCCAAAATTTAAAGTGTTAAGCAACCTAAGGTTAAAGTTTAGCTAAAAACCATCTATTAATTACAGCAATTGCCACTCAAACAAATACAAGGTTTTAGTGACTAATCTAGTACAACATGAGGAAAGTTACTAAAAAAAGACAAGCGTGATCATACTGAAACGCTAATGTCTTAAATTGGCAACGGTGTAAATGAGATTACTACTCTAAGCTAGAGTGCTAGACTAATGGGAGGGGGGTTTGAACTCGTAATGCGATGAGTTGAAAAGGAAAACCCTAATATATATCCACTAGGACAACCCATCCTGTCTTATAATCGCATTTTCTAAGCGGAACATAGGGGCGTGATGACATTATGCAGAATTAGCATGGTTCTTTACTCATTAATCTTTGTTGCATGATTCTAGTAGGCTAGTTTCCACACTACACCTAGTCACATTCATGGATTTATATTGTTGAGTCATTTGAATTTTGTTACCGTGGATGGCCGTATGTCAACTAATGGCACGAGGATTATCACGTCTTTTGTGTGAATTCGTGTGGCATTAGTCGACAAAGTGCCAATATCAGTGAAAAATGATATGCCTCGTATATATCCTTTGAAGTCTCAATTACGTTGTGATCATCCCAGTCTAGAATCGAACTTCCTAAGCATATTAGTTCAACGCAAGTCGTGGTCGTATTCTTCATGGTCATGGATCATGACCTAGATGATGATTATCATCAAAGGTTTACAAATCATCTTTCATTGCGACATGAACAGGAGGATTCTCAGTTACAAGAGGAACTGGAAGCTATAGATCACAAGGGGGCAATAATGGTGGTCACGGAGTAACAAGATTAAAGTCGCAGTTGAGCTTCACTGGGCAAGATTCTCTTTCTCAAATCTCTGAAGTAAGTGAAATTGCTGGTGAAGGTGTTAGCTCTGACAACGGCCACCATAGTGCCATGCATTCTTATCCCGCCACTAGCTTTGGGATGGAATCCTGGGATAATACCAATTCGATTGTCTTTTCAGCTCCACCAAGTAAACGAGCTAAAAACATGGATGGGGACATATTTAACTGCCTCAATGCTTTAGAATCTCAGGTACCTTAAAATTCAAAATCCATTTCACGTGCATGGTTCTTAGAGTCGCAATTTTTCTGTTTAATACTTGTTTCGTTGTCCATTTCAGTTTAGCCTTCCCCAGACATCTTTAGAAATGGCAACAGTAGAGAAGCTACTGCACATCCCTGAAGATTCTGTTCCTTGCAAAATCCGTGCTAAGCGTGGCTGTGCAACTCATCCCAGAAGCATTGCAGAGAGGGTTAGCAACTCATCCCTAAAGATTATGTTCGGGTATGTTGTTTATGTTTATTTAAATATGTCCTCCTGACTTGTAAATTTCGTTTATACAGGAGAGAAGAACTAGAATAAGTGGGAAGTTAAAGAAACTACAAGACCTTGTTCCTAACATGGATAAGGTAGTAATCGATGGCTTTTTTAAACCTGTATTACTGAATTTTACTGAAAATATCTGCATTTTGACTTGAACCAGAAGCGTTTTTAGTTAGTGTATCTTTTCCTTAAAGAACTTGTATAGATGCATAATGGGGGGAAAACCTACGTAAAACTGTACACAAAGTCTCTTTAAGATGGTATTTATAACATCCTATCCCTTGATTACTTAAAAAACTATTTACTTTTCGACCTCCTATCCTTGAAAACTCGCCGTCAGGTGACTACCTAAACAAAAGATTAGGTACAAACTCAATGAAACATAACATTCAAACAGGACAAATAAAACATAATCCCAAATAGGCTTGGAAAGCCTTTTAAATGCTCCTCATCAAACTTAGAAGTAGAAAAAACTGTAAACTAGTTTTCTTTATCTGCTCGTTTCAGATACATAGTTTTGTAAATGTTTATTTAACGTGAATATGAAGGCATCCTATGACGTTTAATCCTAAGATAGCTCCCAACGGAATTGCCATGTGTGCCAACCATTTTGCTTTAACATTTGATGCACGAGTAACTCTATTATTCAACCTTTTCGTTTAGGAGACCCGTGTATTCTCCAGCCTTCATGTTCATACGCACATTGCTGTACTGAGCATTGACTACAAACTTTTATGATGCGCGATTACAAAACCTATGAACAAGCTATAAACATTTCTCCCAATTTCATTTCAGCAAACAAGCTATGCGGACATGTTGGATTTGGCTGTGCAACATATCAAAGGCCTTCAAAATCAAATCCAGGTTTGTGAAGTGTGAATCCGTAACTTCAATACTTAATACTTATTGCATGTGCAAACTTTTTACATACACGACATGAATGTGCTTTTGGTTTTTCAAATGGTTATTGGTCAATCTCAACAATACGCTCACTCCAGAACTGTCGCATGCACTGCAATTGTTCTTTACCTTTTGTTTTACGATTGTGATTTACATACATTGAATAACGATGTTATTGAGTCCGGAATTTCAAAAGAATGTTTCAGATTATACTTTCAGCTCTTAGTTCAGAAATCGTAAAACTATGGAAAATTTTAACACCCTCTTTCTTATTTATTTTCCCTTTAAATTGTACCGAAAACTGTTTTATTAAGCTCTGCCGAATGAGGGTAATTAGTTGCTAGATTGCACCTTCCTGGATAGATTTTGTCTAAAATTGAGCAAAAAAGATGAATGACCATTTATTGTTTAACTTTCACGGCTGAATGTATACGATTATAACAATTTACTGCTTCTTCCTCAAATTTCATCTTACAAGATTTGTTTTCATTTTCCGCTATTCACAGGATCTTCATAATGATCTCGATAATTGCACTTGCGGCTGCAAACCAACTGCGAAATGATCCCGAATGATGATGAAGCAAGCAAGCGACCGCAGAGGTCCAAACTCTAAGGGTGTCCAAAGAAGGTAGGACCAACCGAAGATAGACTAACTTTGTTGTATTACTTGCAGGTTAGACTTCATATTTATGAGCAGAGAACTTGATCGTTCAAACGTTTGGGACGGAAACTGTCCTTTCATGTTTTGCAGTGGTTCAAATCTCCACGTGTTTTTCGAAATATTTTGTATATACGATGAATCTGCATTGTTTCCTAACTCATCAAGAAATCGTCTTTGTTTCTTTCGTTGAATGAATATTGTTTATTTTGCAGTTCATTTATCAGTTTCTTGGTTTTCATTTTCTGTAAAGTTTTGATTTTATCGGCGGGGTGCCGAAAACCAATTCCAATTGCGGATTTGTTGCTGCAACCGCTCAGATAGAGTAAGGCTTGTTTGGAAGTAGTTTTAAAATGACTAAAAGTGCTTTTAGAAAGAAAAAAATGTTATTTAGTTCCAAAGCACTTAAAGTACTTCTTGCAAAAAGCACTTCAAGTGGTTTTTAACGCCTCGCTTGCCTTTTCACTAATGAGAGACTGGAAATTCAAGCACACAGAAAGATTTGATAAGTTAATGTCCCTGCTTGACAAGAGAAAAATGCTCTTTCCAAATTTAAACATAAAAGCCGGTCCTCTGGAAACATTCAAACCATATCTAATACTCGAAACAAAAATGGCACAGGCAAAAGAAAGAGTAATCCGGCATCTTCTAAACAAAACCCAGAAACCAATTTCCCCGTTGCATCACGGTTTCTTGCATCCCCTTAACGGTTGGCCTTTGCAACTCTTTCGATCTCATCCTTCTTCTTGATTGCATAACTGCGCAGAAAAACAGCACCAATTGTCAGAATAGAAACGATAAAATCACGGGAAAGAAATGGAAACAGACTACATAACATAGAGGGAAAGAAACGAGTACCTGTTAGAGGAACCTTTGGCAGCGTTGATAAGTTCATCAGCCAAACATTCCGCAATAGTTTTGACGTTTCTGAAAGCAGACTCACGAGCACCAGTTGTGAGGAGATAGATAGCCTGATTCACACGTCTCAAAGGTGAGATATCCACAGCTTGACGCCTAACAACTCCAGCAGATCCAATACGGGTTGCATCTTCACGTGGACCACTGATCAGAAACAACAAGACATACAAATAAGACATACAATAGAAGAAAACGAAAATTGCTTGATCAATTTAAGGAATTAACCGGGAAAACGATATTTAAACATATTCATGTCTACGTACCTGTTAACAACAGCATCAACAATAACTTGGACTGGGTTCAGATCAGTCAGCAAATGGATAATTTCCATTGCATGCCTAATAATCCTGACAGCCATGAGTTTCTTTCCATTGTTTCTTCCGTGCATCATGAGTGAGTTTGTAAGCCTCTCCACGATAGGGCACTGAGCTTTCCTGAATCGCTTCACTGAGTATCTCCCAGCAGTGTGAGGTACGTAAGTTGCATGCCTGGCAGGTACCACTCCAACATAGTCCGCCAGTGAAATGTCACTGACCTATATATTGCAAATTATACATTACATTTCAAGTATACACAGGACGTAGATGTTAACAAATTAGTCCACACATTTGAAAACATGAAATAATAATGTTATCAAGTTTTTCGCACCAAAAGACAGCATATCTAAATAAACTAAAGTCAATTTGAGACAGAACTGCATTCAATAGCAAGGAAATGATGTAACAGATGTATGAAATTAACAAAAATATGAAGAAAACAGTTATTTTATCTACATAATTTCGATAAACACATTAGAAAAAAGTTCTATAAACAGCCTTCTTACTTACAAATATTAAAAGGCAAATCCCAATACACATATTGACGTTGATTCGCAATACATTACGCTATATACAACTAACCAACAAAGAAATGCACGTCTGTCACCACTAATTAAGAATCAGTTTACCCTAAAACCTATCGCAGCGCTAAGCATACACGTTGAAGCATACAGTCTAGACAAACTATTTTACCGCACTCAAAACAGCAGAATTAAATAAATTAAAGATTAAAATCCATAAACCTGAACATCATCGAAGCTCCAGCGGTTGAACAGCTTCACGTCATAGTGAGGCTGCGTTGGTTCGACCACAGCAGGAGCAGCTACGGCAGCGGCAGCCATGATTCTGCATAAACACAATAGAAAAGCTACAAAATTTAGAGCATTACAGGGTTTAGTTCTGCAAGAACCAACACAAATATGTTACTAATTCCTAATAACTGCCACTAAAAATCAAGCTACAAAAATATAAAAAAAATTCTGGTGATCAAAATTGGACATTATTTCACAATGCTCAAATGTTGTAATATTAAAATAAATTAAAATTAAGGACTGAGACCTAACACCATATATTCCTACAAATCAAGTTATAAAATTGAGGAAAATATTAAATAAAATAGCAAAAAAAAATGAAATGAAAGGAGAAAAGGATACAAATTCTTAAATTTCTTAATTCGATTGACATACCCAACGAAAAAATCGAGCTTAATTCTTAATAAATAAATAAAAAACAACAACAACAAAACAAAGAATTAAGAAGAAAACTATAAAATGTGTTTTCGACAGTACGCAACAGGTAAAATGCTGAGATGCGAAAGATAGGAAATCAACGGCGGGAAGCGGCGGAGAGCGGTGAACACTGACCCGAAGGATGGAGTTTCAGACGAGAGCGGGAGAGCTTGAACCGGAGACGAGGGAACGGCAGACAGGGAGCTTTTGGAGAAGGCGAGGAAGAGCTTCTTTAATCAGCTAGGGTTTGGGTTTTAGGTTGGGCTTGGGCCTGTTTGGTGTGGATTCAAAATTTTGAGTGAGGAGGCATCTGATGTAGACAACCACGTTATTTGAAAAATTTGCATAATCCAAGAGAACGAAGAAGAAAGATTTTTCGTATACCACAATCATCATTTAATTAAATAATTTTTCTTAATTATTAATTTATTAAATAATAAACTAAATTGAAAATTTTGATTAATTCAAATGATATGACTGTCTGCATTAAATATCACCTAAAATAATATAAAAATACAATATAAAAACATAGTATGAATAATATTACTTTTGGTAAGCTCATCCAGTAGAGGCCTGACCAACTCAAAAAAGGACAAGGATTGTCTGCCCTTCACTTTCGGTGCCCTCCCAGTGCTCTCATGTTTATGTGGTCACGGTTAAGTCACGTCAACATTTTATATTATTATTTATTTTTATCTTATTATATCTATAAAAATAATAATATAAAATGTTAATATAACTTAATCGTAACCACACAAAACAGAAGGGCATCGAAAATGAATGGCATACAATCATTGTCCCTCCAAAAATACCCATTTCTTAAACAGAATTTATTTTTTTAAAATATTTAATTGAAGATGTCAAGTCTATTCGTAAAACCGCAATAAAAGAATGAATTAGAAATATAATAAATAAAAAATAAAACAAGAAAAAAAAGATGCCCAAAAACCTACGACGAAGGCACTACTTGCGCAGTATGTCCGTCTGCCTCCTGCCAGCGCAATTACAACACCATCACTCCTCTCTCTCTCTTTCTCCTCCCCCTTTCTCTCTCTCCTCCAAAATCCGACAGACCGCCATTTTTCTGTAAAAACTCGCTTCCTCCCTCCCACTCCTTCCATTCTCAAACTGCGTGCTCAAATTTCTGTGCTGGATTAACAGAAAGAAGAAGAAGCAAGCAAGAACCAGGGAGAAGGGGCGAGCGAGATGTCGTCTTCAGACGAGGAGGGGTCAGGGGAGGAGTACCTCTTCAAGATCGTCATAATCGGCGACTCGGCGGTGGGGAAATCCAACTTGCTCTCCCGCTACGCGCGGAACGAGTTCAATGCCCACTCCAAGGCGACGATAGGCGTGGAGTTTCAGACCCAGAGCATGGAAATCGACGGCAAAGAGGTCAAAGCTCAGATTTGGGACACCGCCGGACAGGAACGCTTCAGGGCCGTCACCTCTGCTTACTACCGTGGCGCCGTCGGAGCTCTCATTGTCTATGATATCACCCGCAAGACCACTTTCGAGAGTGTTGGCCGCTGGCTCGATGAGCTCAAGAGTAAGCTACTTACACTGTCTATTCAGACAAAGTTTTCTTCTTTTCTGCTTTTGCTTTTGGTTATGGTGTTTTCATCTTGAAGCGAAATTGCTAAAGTAATTGCGATAATTGTGGTTGTTGGATTTGTGGGTTGTATTTGTTTTTGGTGAATGTGAGTTTTGGTTGGATTTTGCTGGATGTGATGGATATGGATTTAGATCTTATATTATGATTAAGAGTTCTCTGTTTGAAAACTTCATTCAGAAGAAAGCTAATTATTTTTTTCAAAATCTTTTGTTTTTTGGGGGTGGATGTGTAAATTGTTATAAAATTGAAAGAAAATTCTGCTTATATTGAGTTATTGACTAATATATGTAAACTTTTGAATACGTTCCGGTAGCCAATGATTTATATAAGTCTATTGTGTCAAATCGAGGAATGAGGATCCTTGCCGGAACCTCTTTGTGAGGATCCCAGGATCCTCAAATCACATCCGTTCATCGTACATCATGCAGTCAGAAATCATCATAAATTTTTTTATTTAAAATTGAATATAAACAGTACCTGATAAAAATTGACTGCACGATATATGATAAACGGATGTGATTGGAGGATCCCTGGGATCGTCACAAAGAGGATCCAAGGAGGATCCTCATTGCAAATCTAGGCCTGAGGTGCGTCTATTGGGTAGTTGAGAAGATTCAGATAACTTGATGGTTTGGTTGTTTTGCGTGAAACACTTTGTGGTCGAATGTATGTAATATGGCGTGTTAGCTTCTATACAGAGTATTAGGGGTAATAAAGGAATCTTCAAGTTTCTAGACAGCTAAAAAATTATATATATTCAAGAAGTATTGGTTGAAGTTATGATCTAAGATGCATGAATCGCCGCTATAATCTACTGAGGAGGTGTTTGACAGATAATGATTGATTGTTTTTAGTGTCTGAGATATGAGGGCCCAAGTGATACATGTTTGTTTGTTTGCTGAATCTAAGAGCTTTGGCCATCCGAATCTATTTGCGAAAGAGCAATCAATCAGTGTAAGGGGGTCCTTACAACTCCTCATTGGAATTTTTATGTGGGGGGACATGCTTTCCTAGCCGACCATCTAGTTAACCAAGTGTTCTTGGTATTTAGTACCGCATGAAGTTTATGCCTTGTTAGTTTATCTTGTTATATGTTTGAAATTAGGCTAGCAACACTTGTAGTCTCCACACTATTCTCGAAAAATTCATTCTTTAGGAGGTCCATATCCGTACCTTAATTTTTCTCTGAAAAATTCAAAATGTACAATTAGTGTTTATTTACCAAAATTTTTACCTTTTCTAATAGTGAAATACAATGTCAATAGTTAGTCACTACTATTTTATTGTGTTTGTGGATTGCATGTCAACTGTGGTTGTAATTATTTTGTTCTTGTAAGAAAAAATACAACACAATGAAATTTTTTTAATTACTTCTAATAGTGAATGCATTAGATGTTTAGCTTACACAATCCCAATCCTTTATTTTTTTTATCATTTTTCCGTATGAATATTGATAGATTCTATTCATGGCTTCTTGTGTTAGCAACTCCTCTTATGGGTTTTTTCTTGGTATTACATCTTCATGATGGTAATGATCATGCTATTTATTTTGTTGCATTTATAAAAGTTCCTTTTTGCCATGATCACCAAGTTTGTTTAAGTTAGCCTTCATCACAAGTTGTGAGTAGGCCTTTTTCTTTTTCTCCTCTGTATATTAACCTTGAGACTACAAAGTTGATAACGTTGCACATTGTGTCCAAAAAACTTTGCCTAAGTAAAATTGCATTCAGCTCAAAATACTCCCCGAATCACGTTTCATTACACTAAAAGGAATGTCTCTTAAAAAATTTAGACAACAACTTCTAGAGAAAACTAAATGCCTAAAAATTTAATTCTATCCTAAATGGACCAACCAAACAAATCACATAGGAGCAAAAGCGCTTAAAAACTTGACCATCAAGATTTTCTATCGTAGAAGGAGAACGCATTGGCATGTCTCTGAAGCATGGACAAATCCATATCCTTTATGGGACTATCTTGGATTGAATTTTCTTCCAAGAATTAAATTCCAAGAAGCTCGAGAAGTTGAAAAACGAAGTTATGGAAGAGTCTTGCTTAATAAGTTTGCAATCATCAGTTCTATATAGTGAAAGTAGTCTATTCTTTTCATGAAAATACCTGCTTTTGTGTAATATATTTATTTGTATCTCTCTATATCATATTAGCTTCGAATGAACTTCTAAACTGAGTTTTCTTGTTAGCTCTCTCTTTCATGGCCCTTTTCATGACTAAGCTAGCTTGGGATTGCAATGGATTCTGTATATTATTATTTCATTTGTCTTACCGAATGTATGTACAGAATGTATCCTTGTTATATTATTTGAATTTAAGACACAACAACTCTTCTCTTATCTCTGATTACTTTTGGTCGTTGTAACCTCCATTTCTTGCTTTACTACTAAGTTCTTATTTTTGAGCTTGATTAATCATTGGTGCAGCTCATTCCGATACAACTCTGGCAATGATGCTAGTGGGGAACAAATGTGATTTAGAGGATATCAGGGCTGTGAGTGTTGAGGATGGTAGAAGCCTTGCTGAAGCAGAGGGGTTATTCTTCATGGAGACATCTGCCCTGGACTCAACAAATGTTATAAAGGCTTTTGAGCTTGTGATTCAAGAAATATATAACAATGTCAGCCGGAAGGTCTTGAACTCTGATACGTACAAAGCAGAGTTATCTGTGAACAGGGTCAGCCTCGTTAATAATGGAGCAGACGGATCAAAGAAAACCCAGGGCTATTTTTCTTGCTGTTCCGGTTGATATGGTTTATATCTCCAAAAAGAACACAAAAATGCATAGGACGAGCACTCGAGGGCATTTCCAAGGTTGGTTATTGAATTTGGTTCGTTAATTGGTTTGTTTGGTATTTGGTACCTACTTAAAGGTTTCCGAACAAGTCGATATCATACAAGTAAATTCTTATCTTTTTAATTCATGTAAACAAGTTGAATTTGTACTCCGGATGGAAGCCATGTAACTTCTATAAAATGAAGACCGGCACCCGTTTTCTTTGGTGTGATGTAATTTGTTCTGGTAAGTATATTATGTTCAGCAACTCGATGAATTTTATGTGATTTTACAGTGCAGTGGAGAAAAACATGGAACGATGTTATTTTGAATCGCGACGTGTGCATTTATCAAAGAAAAAAATTGAGCAGACATTCTTTTGTGAGTTTGTCTCTAGGACCTGAATATTTGGTATAGAAGTTTTGTATGTGAATGTGTAGTCATTTGAAGAAATGGAAACTCAAAACTTCTTTCCTTTGTTTTGGTTACATTGGAGGATTTCGAATCATGGACTTAGCACAATCTTGACTGTTAATCTACCCACTTTCACCACCGGGCTAACCCGGTGGCGTAGGTCATCTCCAATGGAGATGACTAAAGGTCCAAAAGTTCAAAAAAAAAAAAAAAAGCTTGATTTTTCTAAAAACTCATCTCCAACCGATAGTTGAGTTATAATTCTATGAAGTTCACAAGGCCATTATTTGGTTGAAGGGATACCAGGTTGCCAAATGTAGTTCCTCTCTTACCTTTTTTTTTTGGCTTAGTTCTTCAGATGCAATAATTAATTTAAATTCAATGGCTGAATTTGAAAATATCAAACGGTAGTTTAATTAAATTAACCAATAAATATGAAATATAAACTTAAAACTAATAAATTATTGAGGGGACTATGTTTAGCCCATTTGGTTGAAAATGACATATAAGTATGACCTGACACTGTTTATTTAAAAATAATTTTTTTCGAGACTAAAAATCTAAATGGGGCTATATTTAGCCCTTTCGGAGATGGTCCTAGAAAACTCAAAACTTCACCTCTACGTAAGAGTAGCCAGCCAATTTCTTGTGTGAGGTGGTGATGCATGGTGAGCTGGTTCAGTTGGTAGCTACATTATTTGAATGTCCCTATTTGCCAGTTGTATGTGATTTTTAAGTAGACCCAGGCACTTGTCTGTAAGCAACCATTCTGATCATCTGATGTCGACTTCATTGCAAATAGTTCCTTAGATGCATGGAGCATTTCCTTCTTACTAATTAATTGAAGTTTGATGTGTGCGTATAAAATTTTTATTTATTTTTTCTTTTATTATGGGTTCGTTTGAAAGTGCATTTAAAATGATTAAAAATGTTTTTGGTAAAATTGATTTTGAGTTTCAAATGCTTTTTGGAATAAGCACCAGATATGTGCTTTTTTTTAGGAAATACTAAAAGTGTTTTTTCAAGACCCACTTGATTTTTATTAATCATTGGTTATATTTTTACCAAAATCGCTTTCAGCTATTTTAAAAACACTTCCAAACAAGTTCTAAGTCAATTCAATATATGTGATTGACTTCATCGACTAGAGGTACAAGTTGAGTTGGAAGACACTCTTGTTGGCATTAGAACTCTTTGATTCTGATACGACCAGTTCAAAAATCAGGTGAAACTCCTTATCTGTGAGGATGCGAACAATGTTTGTTACTTTATTTTTATGTTACTGTTTACGAACACTAATGGTAGACCAAATTGTGCAAAAGAAGACTTTTCTATTTATTTGCGGAATCAATGGCCGCAAATTCACACCTTAGATTGAGTAATGGGATGGATCATGGGAGTTGGGTGCTTGCCTAACCTCAACTCCCAACTATGCCACTAAGTTGATATCCCAATGGTGGCATCACCCCAAAGATTTTAGTTCTAGAACAAAATCAACCTTTGCCACAAAATATTCAACTCAATTGTGGGTGAGAAGTGGTTGTTCTAGCAATCACATGGTTGGTGGAGGATCAATTTGGGGTGTTAGAGATATGGTTGAGAACCCAACTCACAAGGTAAAAGCCAACCCTACCACACAACTATTTCCCACCACCATACAACCCCAATAGAAAAAATACAAGGCAGTGTTATCTATGCACTTTTTTTTTATTTTGGAGACACTCTTTTTAGTTCCAACCGTAAGCTGGAATATGAATTGAAGAATATCAAACGACATAAATTAACAGAAGATCTGTGAGAAATAAAAAGAGGTGTATGAATAGCACTACCGAACATAATATAATCAAATTCAAAACATAATTACCATAAAAACTCATTACAAAAGAGAAAAAGGAAAAGAAAAATCTTACTGAAAGAAAAGTAAATGAAAAGACAAGTAGACCCATCATACAAGAAGTGGGTAAACCAATATAAACTCAAGATTCTTCTAGAAGCTTTTGCCCAATTTCTGTAAAATCTTTTGTTTTCTTTTCACTTCCTACTAGATTTGCTAATATGGATGGAATACATATGGAGACAATTGACTGATGATAAGGACAACTCCTTTATCTTATTCTTCTATTTTTAGTTTCTCCTCCAGCACTTCTCTTTTTACTTTTTTTCCGTCGATTTATCCAATTTAACTAACGAAAAGAAGAAAAGAGGAGTACCGGAGGAGAAAGATGAGTGCGAAAATCAGTCACTTCCCACTCATTGAGATCTCCAAGTCTTGGCCATTTCAAACCCATTCATGCCATGGTGATAGTCCTGAATAGTTTGGTAGATTTCCTCCTGTGTGTTCATCACAAAAGGGCCATGCGAAACCACTGGTTCATTTAAGGGTTGCCCTGCCGCCAACAAAAACCGCAACGGCTCCGATGACTTGTTGCACACGCTTAGGCCGTCTCCCGGACCCAAAACCAAGACGTGATGAGCTGACGAATGAGTTGATCCAAACACCCCTTCTCCTTCGATTACGTACACAAATGAAGTCCAGGCTTCCGGTATGCAGTGATGAAGTTGAGCTCTCGGTTTTAAGACGAAATCTAGAAACATTGCTGGTGTTCTGGTGTAAACTGGGGAGCTGACTCCCAATGCTTCTCCGGCGACAACTCGGACGTCGACCCCGTCTTTCTCTGCCCTAGTTATGTCCTTGCTTAGGAGTTCTTGGTATCTTGGCTCAATCCTGCAAGCAAGAATATTTTCATAGTGAATATAGAGAACTATAAAGTTTTTGAAAAATAATTTTGTAATTACTCGCAGTAAATCAAAATAATTATAATTACTAGATGGAGCTCATATACCATGCATGCGTAAATATAAAAATTAAAAAAAAAAACTATAATATGGAAGAGAGAGAAGTGGGAAGAAATGTTAGAGAGAGAAGTGAGAAAATGCGGTTTTTTTTTTTAATTTTTAATTTTTTTAAAGGCTTATTTTATCAACACCCTACATATTGTTGAATGCACCCTACAAACTTAATACTCCCCACATTTGCTTTTTTAATTACAATTAATCTTAATACACCCCACTTACTTTTCCATAATACCCTCACACCCCACACCACAACATACACCCCACATTTTCTACATATACCCCACACTCTTCATATCTTAAAAAAGAAAAAGAAAAAATTAGCCCTCCCCCTTCTCCAGCAAGAATCAGCCACAATTATTCTTCTTTTTCTTCCACGCCACGCCACACCAAATGTTGATTAAAGAGTAACATTGCTTTGATTAAAAACTTGAGGTCACAACATTTAAAGGAAAGGCCAATGCTTCAGTTCCTCGATTTCTTTTTGTTCGGACTTCAACCTAGGATAAGCAGGACAATGTTGCGAAACCTAAAAGATGTGTATGCAAAAGAAAGGGACAACCTTTCCGAGCTCTCCTCGAAAATATGTGGAAACCATATATCCTTAAAACAAGACTTGCAAATGAGGGCCTTTGTATTGCTTCTCTGAGCCGAACAACCAACTCATAAGACTAATTAAAGGGCTACTTGATTTGGTATGGAAGATTGATTTGACTGAAGGAATTAGGTTCAGAAAGATGGAAACTGCCCAAGTAGGAATATGAAAATGGGGACAAAAGTTGGGATTAATTGATTGAATATCAATTATCAATGTAAGTGTATTTGGTTTTGGATTAAGATTCTCTTATGAATAATTTTTTCAGAAAACGTCTTTGTAGTTTTATTGATTAGGGTTTTGTGAAAACGTCTTTGTAGTTTTATTGATTAGGGTTTTGTTCTACGTACAATGGAGAGTGAATGGTTTTGAGAGTTGAAGAAGATAAATAATATTGGGATGTGTTATTTGGGGTGTATTTAGAATTATTTTAAATTTTTTATAATTTTACGAGGTCGAAATAGTCATTGCATATTAAGGCATACAAGTCATTTAACATTAAATTTTAATGTGGGGTGTATTCAACATTATGTGGGGTGCTAATAAAAAAAGCCTTTTTAAATTAGAGATATGCTATGCTTTAATGACATGTGAATGAGAGAAGGAAAAAAAAATTATTTTTGTTAAAATTACTTTAATGCCCATATTTTTCTTATCTAATATTTTGTTTTAATTATGCATGAAAGAGTTACCTCAAAAATAAATAAAAATTGCATGAAAGGGTATAATAATATTTTCGTTTATTTTTTGTTGACAAAGGAGATTCTATTAATAAGTGGTATAAATTCGGCTAATTTTCATTAGAATGACATGCAAATAGATATATCACGAATCTATAAAATAAAAAAATATATAAATAAGAATGTGTAAAAGATTAAAAAAAATAACAGTAAAAAAATAAACAGAAATGTATAAAATATTAAATTCTCGTATCAGTTCCCCATGGCATGGAATAAAAAAAATCCTAATTTCTTTGCTAATTATTTAGTACTTTTTTTTTTAAATTGTTGGTGGGGTTCCAACGAGACCACATGTGTATGTATTTGAGCATTGTGGGGTCAACTGTTTTTCAGTAAAAAGTTAATTAAAAAAGGCTTTGGTGAGTCAGCCACACATATTCGGCACTACAACTTTAAAAAAAAACTTTTGGTTAGTTTTCATATAAATAATGGTCAACTCATGCCGGTGTGAATAATTTATAAAACAATTTTAGGAACTTTCGTCACTAATATTCTATGAAGATTTTGTCAGACTACAAAAAGTCCAAATAGATCCCGTTTATACACAAAAATAAATAAATAAATAAAATTACAACATTCACATTGAGTCAATCAACCTTTTGTGTTTTTAATCTATAATGAAAGTATTTTTAAAATAACTAAAGTCGTTTCTAGTGAAAAATATTTTTAAAACCAGTCGAACAAATTTAAGTGAATTCTAAAAAAAAGTACTTTAAGCATTTTTTTTCAAGAAGCAAATGCATGATGTTTCTTCTACAAAGCAATCAATTTCATTAAAAATATTTTTAATCATTTTAAAAACACTTTTAAACGAGGGTAAAATTATTTATTGGTCGAAATCAAATTTTGTAAACTAAGTTATTCATGTATATTACTCTAAATATCTATGATTTCAGTTCCAAACTATTCTTTATGAGATGAACTTGTCCTCGAAATGCTTGCGCAATGTTGTCGTTGGCATTTACGCCGGCCATGCGCTAGCCTCTAAGAGAACGGTCATGCATGGCAAATTGGCAACCTCTTCTCGGTGGCCATGGCTGCTATTTATGTTTTTGTTTTTTGAAATGGTCCGGTCAAAAATAGTTTTAGTAGTTGGATGATTATATAAACAATTACGGGTCAGCAAAAAGGGACTAAAATGTAAGTATTGAAATTTTTTTTTTTTTGACAAATTGTCGTGTTAAATTGTTAGTTGGTAGGGGGTAAAGATCGGTGAGGATTCAACTCACAACATAGTGCATAGATATAAATACTAAGTATTGACAACTGATTGATGCACAAAAATAAATTATGAGGCGGGTGCTATTCACACACCTATTTTTACTTCTCACACACATGTTTTAATTTTCAACTATGATCGAATTGAAGAAGATCAATAAACATAAATTATTAAGGATGTGTGGGAGATAAAAGAGGTGTGTAAATAACATTATCCTAAATTAAGCAGTGGAATGAGAAAAAATACGTACATTTTGTCCTTCTGGGCTAAATTGATCCAAAGCTGCAAACCAGTGTTGGGTCCTTCTCCTTCAGGCATTTCTGAATGAACTATTCCCCTGCCTGCCGTCATCCACTGTCCCCAAAAATTCACACATCCAACAAAATGCTTAATGAATGTCCAATCACAAACATTTCTACCACCGTCGTCAAATTTATTCACCAAATAACGCCTCGACGCTTGATCATTTATTTTGACCGAGTAACAACAACAACGATATTGACACATAATTCGGTGAATATATACGTGAACAAATTTGACGACTCTAATATTATTAACAAATCAATATATACCTGCACATCCCCAGTCCGGATTGTACCCCTGTGCCCTGCAAAGTCTTGGTGAGTGATTGCTCCCTGAAATCCAAACAAACCAAAACTTGTAACTTCAAGTTCTTACTGCAATCTGAAATCCATAATCCAAAAACGTTAGGGAAAAAGATTGACCTGTAACATGTATGTGACAGTCTCGAAACCTCTGTGTGGGTGGTCAGGAAATCCAGCAGGAGGGGACACTGCAAACATCACAAAGCAAACAACAATGTCAGCACAGAATTCATATCATCCATAAAATAAAATAAAAAGGAATTAAAATAATGAAAAAACAGTACCTGAAAAGTGATCCAGCATCAGAAAAGGATCCAGGTTCCTCAACTCGCGGCTAAAAAATCAAAACCCACGAACAAATAAGAACCCAGTTTTCAAAAACTCAAGAACACAAGAAACCATGTAATGAAATCCCAAAAAAAAGTGTAAAAATCAAAGATTCAAAAGCCAAAAAGGATAAAAAAAATAAAAAAATTGAAAAACTGGTAGAATTTGAGATGGTTACCTTCCAATGGCTCTCCTGGCAACAGCACCATCGCCTTCGTGCTGGGTCTTGGCGAGGACCTTCTTGACGACCATTCTTGGGGAGGAAAAAGGAGGGAGGGATTGGTGATCGGAATCAGACATGGTGCTTCGGATGAAGGAAGGGACTGGGATTTTGAAGCGGTTGGTGGCTATGCGGAATAGTGAGGTGGTGTGTGGTGCTGTGAAAATAGCTTTCATGAGCGTTGCTTTTTATATGGAGAAGTTGAGAGCTGGATGCGTGTCTTATTAACTTCCATGATATGATTGATTTAATATATAACGGCATTAAGAATGGTGGGAGGCCGGACAAACCAGCCGATTTGGAAATGGAAAAAATCAAATATTAAAAAATGGAGAATTTTATTGGGGAACACCAGCACAACGGGTAAGAATTCGTATCTAAACGATGAAATTGAATTGAATGTTGTCCACCGTGTTGGTTATGTTGATTGTGTTACGTGCACATTTTATATGAGATATTTCATGTGTTAAGTTTTTTTGTTATCGTGATGATTTTTCTTTGTCACCAAAAAAGGTTGTCATAAATAATTTCCGAAGTTTTTAAGTAAATAAGAATATCAATTATGCAATCAATTTTACTTTAATAGTTGAATTAATAACAGTATGGAACTACATAAGATATAGAAATGTATTTTATTTTAACACGTAAATTAATAACAGTATATAGCTATATAAGACGGCGTACATTAGGGAATTGAGTTTCTAAGACGTTTTTTTAAAACTTTTCTGTGAATAAAAATGGGGTTCTAGTTTTTTGCGTTGGCCGTGGGTGACTGACTGGGTCTGCCGTACATTTACATTAGGAAATTGGAGGAGGCGTGGGGAAACATAGAGTTGGACCCACTCAGCCTCCTTGGACCACTGATGATTGGTGATGTCAAGCCCTTGTCACCATGAGGTTTGGAGGGTGGGGGTGTGTGTGTATGTGAGTATGGGTTTGGTTTGACTTTGACCTACTCAATCTCAATGATGAAATTGCAGCAAAATATCTCTCAATTTTAACTCAGCAGTGGTCTCGAAATTAAAAATTTGTGACCATTCATCTCTTAATTTATCAAAACGCGCAATTATATTCCTTTTAGTCAACTTCGTTAAACTTTTTTCAAAATGTTTCACATACCACACACTTGAGGCTGAACAAAGAACCCGATATGAAAAACCAAATGCGAAAACTTTGTAGCAATAGTCACTCGACTTTAACCTAATTGGAGTAATGGTCCCTTAATTGTAACTCAATTGTAATAATGATTCTTCCAACATCATTCATTTAGCCAAAAGTTCTGATGGAATTGACAAAAATGACCATAACTGCTCATTTTGATTAATTAAGGAACCAATAGTTACAGATTTTTAATTGAAGATATATTGTTCGAAGTAAATTATAATTGAGAGATCATTGCTATAATTTTCTGATCTTATATAATATGTAGAATTCAAAGGGATTCATGCAGTCGTCATCACCGCACAATCGTTTGGTCATCAATTTTCTTCAAAACCCTCCAAGGAACTCACCGCAAATCTCTATCAATTCTTGATTTTCATCCTACTTTTTAAGAAAGTTTTAACGTATTTAATGGGAACATATCACAACTTTCAATTAATTCTTTAATGTGTTCCCATTGCATTTGCTATCCCATTGTCCAATGGAAAAGGGATCATTTCCGGATCATTTTCCACCTAATCCACTTAGTTTGAGATTCAGATCGTTGAAAGATCCCTTTCTGTCCAATGGTTTATGGATGTGTTTGTGTGATGCATGCGTTTCACACTTGTCACTCCCTCACATTTGCTATTATGTGTCATTTTTTTCAATTCATTATTCGGGTTCAAACGATGTCATCTTCTATAGTTTGGATTGACGTAGTAATATCGTCTGTACTACAAAATAATTAATTTAGTGTCAAACATTGCCAAATTAAAATAATACAAGATGTTTATAATCAACATTCAAAATTAAAGTACATACATCTAAACTAAAAAAATTCCAAAAGGAAAACAAATTAACATGGTTTCATAAAAAAATGGGAGCATATAATATGAATATGCCACTCAATTCCATTCGATTCCATTCATATATATGCTCATTCCTTAAACTCTCGCTATTACCAACCTCTCAAAAATAGCAATGTTAGGGAGTTTGGAAATGTTTTTTAAATGGCTGGAAGTGTTTTTTATGAAAATGTTTGGAAAAGCATTTAAAGTACTTCTTATAGTATAATGCTTCTTGCATGAAGCACTTTAAGTACTTTTAGAACCCAAAAACATTTTTCTTTAAAAGTGGTTTTAGTTATTTTAAAAGCACATTTAAACGAGCTCTTAATGGGCAATTAGCAAGAATGATCAGTTTTTAGTAATGACGACATATTGATCAGACATTGATGACCCAATGATGACATAACAACCACACAACAATGATATAATAATGACATAATAAATACTGATAATTTCTGCAATCAAATATCAAAAACTGATCCTTCAGGTTATTTGCCGTTTTATGGAGTGTGATAAAAAAAATGTAACAATATGACAAAACGTGTCTATTCCAGGTAGTTGCCCTTATTTTTTCTCAAGATGCCCAGTGTAGTTTTTTGTACTCAAATTTAGGGGTGAAAAGTAGTCTTTATTCTTTCTTTTTTTTATTCATCAGAATTGCGAGAGCAATCATTCTAACTCTTTAGATAAATTTACTAGCATCTTAAAGTAAAACATAACATAGTTTGGCATTGACGATGCTACCTCTTTTCTAGTCGCCAATAAAAATTAGAAAACTTTAACGAAAAACACCCGGTATTGTTCATTTTAACGAAAAACCACATTTTTACACTAAAAAATCAATCATGGTACTATTCACTTTACCTTTTATTTTGTCCTTATCATTAAAACTCAAAGTTTTCAAGCCATTTTCATTAGTTTTCCTTAAAAATTACTATGCCCATCCATTGACACAATCTTGAACATATCAAAATGACTTGCTCCGACAGTCCGTTGCCGTTAACTCGTTCTAGTCCGTGAGATTCATTCCGGAGCTTATGCGATATCACCGTCATTCCGACCAGATCGACCCGGTGGTCCGAAATTCACGGTCCCATAATACCCTTCAATGCTAAACAATGAGTCTCTGTAGCTTGAAAAAAAAAAAAGGTGTTACCATATGAGTTTGTAAGCTCAGCTAAACAGTCACCCTTATCGAAACCCCATGGCCCATTGTACATTAGTATTTTACCTGAAGCGTCACTCGTTGTCTGTCAACCGACATGTAAAAAGTTTATTTCTTGCTTCTGTCAAGGTTGAGATAATATTTTTTGGTAATACCATTCACACGTTTATTTTTACTTCTTACATACTTTGTTAAACCTTTTTTCGTTGATCTTCAGTAGAGGTAAAGATATCAGTCAACCCCTAGTCACCATGAGGGAGGGAGGGAGGGAGGGAGGAAGGGTGTGTGAAAGTGATTGTGTGAGTAGGGATTTAGTTTGACCTTGACCTACTCAAACTCAAGGAAGAAATTGTAGCAAAGGCTTCAAATAATAGTCTCTAAACTAAAAATTTGTGATCATTGGTCCCTTAATTTATCAAAACATGCAGCTATGGTCATTTCCTTTCAATTTCGTTAGAACTTCCGTCAAAATGAGTCACGTGAGGGTGAATAAAAGAGCAAATATAGAAAACCAAACGAGATAAATTGTAACAATCTTCGTTCAATTTTAACCTAATTGGAGAAATTGTTCTTCAACTTTAACCAATTGTAAGTTGTTTTTCCCACATGACTCATTTTGACGAAAGTTTTGAGGGAGTTGACGAAAATGATCATAGTAAACATTTTGATAAGTTCAGAGATTAACAGTCAGAGACTTTTAGTTAAAGAATCAGTGCTCCAATTGGATTAAAATTGATAAACCATTGTTACAATTTTCTTATATAGTATGTAGTTTCAAGGGGATTCATTTCATCCAGTCGTCACGCACAATCACTTGGTCATCAATTTTCTTCAAAAATTTCCTATATACTCAAAGCAAATGTCTATCACTTCATGATTTTCATCCTATTCTTTTAAGAAAGTTTTAACGTATTTAATGGGAACGTATCACAATTTTCATTGAATTCTTAAAATGTGTTCCCATTGCACTTGCAATCCGCTAATATGTGTCATTTTCTTTCAAACTTAAATTAATTTAGTGTAGCAAGTAGTGGATTGTCATATTAATTAAGTTATTTTTTTAGTTCACTACGTTTAAGGTCAAACCCTATCCTGTTAACGTAGTAATATTATAATATCATCTGTATTAAAAAAAAATAATTAATTTACTGTAAAACATTGCCAAATTAAAATAACACAAGATGTCTATTATCAACGTTCAAAATTAAAACGTTCAAAATTAAATTACCAATGATACACCCAAACAACAAAAATCCCAAAAGGAAACCAAATTAAAATGGGATTTGAGAGCATATAATTCATACGATTCTGCCATTCAATTCCATTCGATTCCATTCCATTCGTGTATATGCTCATTCCTTAAACACTCACTCTTAAGTCTTGCTAACCTAACATAAATAGAAATTTTAACGGGTAATCAGCATCAATGATCTATTTTTAACATTTGATTTTAGGAATGATCAATGTAACGAAAAAATATTGATCATATATTGATGACACAATGATAACCTAACAACCACGCAATGATGATAAAATGACGATAATAAACATTGATCATTTCTACAACCAAATGTAAAAAACTGGTCATTCAGACTATTTGCCTTTTGAAAGAGTGATCAAAAGTGCAACAATATGTCAAAACGTGCCTATTCCAGCAAATTGCCCCTTTTTTTTCCAAGATGCCCAATGTAGTTTTTACTGAGTTTTTTGTGTTTATCCACTAGCATTACGTGAGCAATCGTTCTAACTCTTTGTATAAATTTAATAGCAACATAAAGCAAAACATGACATAGTTTGAAAATGACGATGCTACCTCTTTTCTGGCCAGCGATAAAGACTACTATGCCCATCCATTGACACATTCTCAGACATATCAAAATGACTTTGCTCCGACAATCCATTGCCGTCAATTCGCTCTGGACCGTGAGGTTCGTTCCGAAGCTTATGTGATATCACGCTCAATCAAACCAGCTCAATCTGGTGGTCCTAAAATTCATGGTCCCATAATACCCTTCAATGCTAAACAATGAGACGGTGTAGCTTGGAAAAAAAATAAAAATAAAAAGGATGTG